GCCTAAGTTAATTAGCTGTAGTTAGTAAAAAAGACTTAATATAATTAAAGAGATGCTAAAATATAAAAATATAGTTGCAGCACAATTTTTCCTAGAAAAATTTGTTATTTTATACAGAAGTATGGTATTAATGATAATGATAAAAAGCTCATGGAAAATCATCACCTATATATTGTTAACATCTAGTTGCGCCACTGTACCTACCAATAACAAGAATAATATTATAATTGTTTTTCACAACAACATAAAATACAAATTTGAGATTATTCAAAATTTCAATCTCGAATGTTTATATCTGGAAAATAAAAACGTCAAAAATAATTTGCCAAGACTTACTGAGTATAAACCGGTTTCTTAGACATTTTTTTTTTTACCAAATATACACACAAAAGAGTATAGAATTTTGAAAACTAGCATCAGACAAACAATTTGTTTAATCTTAGTATTTACCGTTTCAAAAAATGTCAACAAACGTTTACAATACAAATTACTACATTTAAAAGTGCATTTAATTATTACTTAAAAGGGATACCCGTTATTTTATCCTGAAATAATTATTTTTGATGTATTATAGTAATTGGCGAACATTTTGCAAAATGTATACCGTATTTGTTTTTTTACAAATGAGTAGAAATTTGTGTGAAAGATTTAAACTTGTGTGACAAAAAAAAAAGATAGCGCGAGAGTGGAGATAGAGGAGAGTAGAAGAGAAGGGACGTCATAGTGATAAGCGTGACGGAGGTGTAGATAATTGATAAGAGAATCAACTGATAAGAGACACAAAATCAGCCAATCATAAGACACGAACAATAACCGAAAAAACATTTTATTATAATAATGTAGTAAAAAGGTATCAATTTCTGTTTTTTAAACGATTAATACAAAAAAATTAAAAACGAATCTTTGTTAGATAAGACTTAAGTTACAAAACATGTTAAAAAAAATTGTACCGACCGGTGTATGAGCACTTGGACCAAAATATATTATTAACTATTATTAATAAATTTAATTTATTTCTTAATTTATTAAATACCAATAACGAAAATAATATTAAAATTATTTTCACTACAACATGCAATCAAAATTTGAGTTTTGAGTACCAATTATACATACACGAGTGTAAACAATGTTTAATACTTGACTAACAATAGTGTTACCTAAATATTCACTGTTTCAGAAAAATAACAACAAACCTTTACAACACTACATTGGAAAATACATTTAATTAATACTTAAAAGGGATAACTGTTATTTTAACCTTGAACAATTATTTTAAATACATTCTAGTAATTGGGGAACCTTTTGGGCAAAATGTATACATTAGTTTTTACAAATAGGTAGAAATTTGTGTGAAAGATTCAAACTTCCCAAGTATGTTCAACGGACGTTTTGACATGAATATTCATTACGCTAGTGTGACAAAAAAAAAAGATAGCGCGAGAGTGGAGATAGAGGAGAGTAGAAGAGAAGGGACGTCATAGTGATAAGCGTGACGGAGGTGTAGATAATTGATAAGAGAATCAACTGATAAGAGACACAAAATCAGCCAATCAATCAATGTATTTCCTTCGAAGGAATGCATGCATTTATATGCATTTTATTTCATTGGCGCTATGCTCTAGTCCTGTTTATTAAAGTCCTTTAAAATCTGCTCCCCAATCGGTTATAAAAAAAAAAAAAATCGTTTTTCAAGATTTTACATTTGGCATTATGTTTAGGAATCCGCTGTATGGGCCAAATCGAAGAAGAGTTCGGGAAGATATACCATTAACGTTTACTGTATACCAAACGATTCGCTCGACCATCTCAGCCCGTTGTCCACGGCGCCAATGCCAAAACTTACCTCTATGCCCCGCCTCGATGTCAACAAATTAAATATATTTCTGAACCATATGGACGACTTCGGAATCTTATACCTGGAAAATGGCGAACCGGTGTTTATGGACACAGAACCAAAAGTGCACCAGTTGTCGAAGCCTGCGGCCATACAAACCAAACTCAACTGTGTCGAAGGTGACAGTATGTTTATGTTCGCAATGAAACCCATACAATAACCCGTGAGATTTTCAAGTGAGAATGGACTGCGACTAGCCGAGAGCAATATTCATTTCTTCAATTTGGATGCCACGTGAAAACAATGTATTAGTTTATGTTATTCGTATTTCGTTGTTACCCATAATTCGTGTTTCTCAATAAAACAATATTAATATATATATTTTAATCACGGAAACATAACGATTGTGTTTATTACTATACGTGAGTGGTCCGACAAACAACTTGACCTGAACTTGGCCTGAAATGAGGATAGGGTGCACGAAAGCCACGTTATGATGTAAAACACAGGTGATAATATGCTATCAACGAGCCACTCTGGTAACATCAAACTCTTCTAAATACAAAAGGGGGTTAAAACCAAAGCGGTACAAGTCACATTAATCTTAATTGGAGACACAAAATAAAGTTTAATAAAAAACTATTTGCTTGTAATGTGCTGCCACCTGGCGGTAGAGGTTATGGCACGTGGAAACGATTTTCGAAAATTTGATCAGGCAACAGCTAGGTTTTATTGTTTTCTAACGACCGAGGACTGAGATAAACAAAAATTCTCTGTGGGAACGTCGTCTGAAGTTTTTTTTTTTAATGGAGTTTTGGATCATTTTTATATTCATATTTATGTTACTAAGAGTAGTTAAATAGCTGTGTGTGCGTGTAAAATATTATAAAAAAATACCATTAACATATTTTTTTATGAATACAAAGTGACGAGTACCGACGAGACATAATTAGAACGTTTCAATACTGGCACTCGTGTCAAACTGTTTAAACTCCGTTTTTATTACAGCCTTTTACTTTTAAGTATTATTTTTTTTTTCGACAATATGAATGTTTTTGGACTTTTGCCCTTTTGCACGATAATGATATTATGTGGACTTTGTCCTTTAGCAATGATTTTACATGTACAGCTTTTGGACAAGTGCCACGTCCCTAAAAGTTAACAACCCTTATTTTTATATTACACATACATATACTGGTAACGAAGAAGAGTAAAATTCAATGTACCAGAATAATAACTAATGTTATTTTTAATTTGCATAGCGCTCAATAAATGTTTATATTGAAATTTTTTGTTATTTTGAAAGTCGTGCAAATTCTGTCGTTTAGCAATTTTCCAACTATTTATAAAAATACACCATATTGCAAACGTTAAATCAAGTTGGTCGTACTCAAAATAATCTTAAATTTAACCTACATAATTATAACGATGGCAGTATCACTGGAAAAACTTTTTATTAAAATATTTAATTTACAAAAAAAAACCAAACCGTACCTGATCGCATTAATTAGTACCGAATCGTATTGGGTTGGTAACATTGGTCACTACCACTGTTACCAACTACCACTTTATCCAATAGCTATTTGTCCTATAGGAAAAATTGTGATTGGCAATAGTAGATGTATTTTTTTTTACTTCTTTATTCTAATGCGAATGTTTTATTTTTAAAAAACATTTTAATCGTTTCATATAAACCAAGTGTTCCATACATATACCTATTGTAATAAAATGTCTACGAGCACCGCATTATTTTCCAACAAACATTTATTCTTATCGTTGATCATTAAGATAATGTAATTATTATGATTGTTATTCGTAATACTATGATATAGGTGGTATGTATCTATAATACGAGGATAACGCTAATTTTTATTGTGTTCATTATTAAGTACCTTCTGTACTTATTGCATTAAAATATTATACAAATGACGTTGGTGTTTACATTGCATTTGTGTCTCCTCTGATTAATTTATCAGCAGCACGGTGCAGAACTGAAGATTCACCGCCACTCAACTTCTTATCAGTAAATATATGGACGGTAAACGTTATTTTCCTTTTTTATTTGTAGTTAATTATTCTTTTATTTTATTATTTAATATCAAGTAATTGTGTTGACTATTAAATTGCGAACACGGTATTATTTAATCGCATTAATGTAAATACTAGCATAAGTATAATGTGATCCTCATGATTATTAAATTCATTTTGATCCAATCTTTATCAAACTCAGTTACCTATTTGTTCAATTATTAACTGAGCTTTGACTCGTAGAAAAAATTATTTTAATTAAAAATAATGCCCTGAAGCTGTACAAATTAACCGGTAAATTAGTTGACACGATAGAAATGTATTAAAACCATTTTTTCCCCTTGCATATTGCCTATACAAAACTCCTTTAAAAAAAACAGACAGCATGCAATTACCTTAAAACCGGGTTATATTCAGTCGAAAATCAATCTGAAAATTTGCTATGCGTAACAGAACTTGTAATCAAATCTTACTTGTCAAATTTTTTCACTATTGGAAGGAGGTAATTAATGGGTCATCCGTTATTATTAGGATTTTCATCAGCCGACCAACAACGTCTTATGTGGGTTGGGAAAAATACTAAGTTAAATCAGACTAAGACGTACTGATATTGTCATGTTTAAAAATAATAATATATATTCCGTAGTCGCGTGTGAACATTAAATTAAATGTTATATATATATTTATTAAGCAATAAAAATGACAGTAAAAAACCTAGTAGTTCAATATATTAAATTCTTCGGGCGAACGATGGCGCTATCTAACTGACAATATTGTACTGTTACGGTTAGACTGGCGTCCCTTATCAGTTTCACTACATCGTGATCAGCAGCTGCTAACCCGTGTCGTTTTTGATAACAACTGATAACAACGCGTTATCAGAAAAAACAACAACACGTTGATCACGCCGCCGTAATAATAATAACAATATTATAACACATAATAATAATCAGACGCCACTTGGACGGATTTTTTTTAATATTAGTATGCATGTCGCTTTGTCAGCACGTTTAGTCATAATGTTAAGGCGTCGATGATAATAATCGCTAGTACGTACGAACGCGCTGCTGTTGGCAAGTATAATTTTTGTTGTTGTGTCAGTTGTGCGGATTTCACTCGGATGGTAAAACTCGACTGAATCGCCATGTTGAAGGCTGTTATATTGATCGGCGGCCCTTTAAAAGGTACTGTATTATTATTTGAAATTATTGCTGTTGTTTCAAAGCGGTGTGCACTATTGATTTTGTAATCCGATAATTAGGCACGAGGTTCAGGCCGTTGTCGTTGGATATACCCAAACCTCTATTTCCCGTGGCCGGTCTGCCTCTCATTCAGCATCACATCGAAGCGTGCGCCCAAGTGCCTCAAATCAAAGAAGTCCTCATCATCGGGTACTATCCGCAAACCGACCTCGCACAATTCGTCCAGGACATGACGAATCAATATTCCGATCGGCTAAAGATAAGGTATAACAGTTGAATGTAATATTTAAAAAAACGACCACATTTAAATGTTTTTGGGTTATGTTAGATATTTGCAAGAGTTTACGGCTTTGGGTACGGCCGGAGGATTGTATCACTTTCGCGACCAGATCCGTTACGGACAGCCCCAAGCGTTTTTCGTCATGAACGGCGACGTCTGTGCTGACTTCCCTTTGGCCGCAATGGTGGACGTTCATAAATCAAAAGACAAAGCTCTCATAACCGTGCTGGCAACAGAAGCGACTCGACATCAATCTATGCATTACGGTAGGCGTCTTGTGTTGTTATCATTACTCGAAGCGTTAAAAAGCTATTAGACTTTTTTATCATAATTTCAGTAAAATTAAAAATAAGTTTTTGTTAAAACAACTAAAGTAGTAAGAAGAAATGCATTTTAAATATTTTTATACGTAAAGTGATTTAAATTTATTCTAAGGCCTACGCCAAAGTTATTTTTAAATGTAAATTTAGGTAATTATGCATTTGAAAAAAATTATAATTATTAACGTGAAATCAAACCAAATTTAAACTTAAATAAGTATAATTTTTTTATATATTATATAAAAAAAATTGTTTGTTAACTGTCGAAAAACAACTTTATATACATTTATTAAAAAATAATATTGTCATATTTTGACTAATGATTAATTAGAGATTTATAGATAAAATATTGTGATTGTTATTATTTTAATCGAGGTTTTGTCAACGTTCCCACAGGTTGTATGGTCACAGATAAGGAAACTAACGCGATTGAACATTATGTAGAAAAACCATCGACGTTTGTATCGACTCTAGTCAATTGCGGAGTGTATCTTTGTTCCACCGAACTGTTCCAGACAATTTCGGTGTTTGCGTCGGGCGCTTGTTCTGTTTCGGCCGGAAACGAGGATTCGTACGTGTTTGGCAGGTAAACGGACGTGTTTTCACAGTACGGTATTTTTGCTTCAAGTATAATAACACTTGTGTGTTTTTCTTTAAGCAATCATGATGTAATTCGGTTGGAGCAAGACGTGCTCAGGCATTTAGCGGGCACGGGACGTGCGTACGCCGCACCTACCCTGAACTGGTGGTCTCAATTGAAAACGGCCGGCGCCGCGATATACGCCAATCGTCATTATCTGGCCCTGAAAAACAACATGGGTAATCTGCCTACAAACACCGGCGGCTACACCACTCTGGGCCATGTGTACGTACACCCTACGGCCAAAGTCCATCCGACGGCGCTGGTACGTAGACAACGAAAAAAATGTCTCTATAGGTACGTCTTAACATGTGTGTGTGTTTGTGTATTACCGACGTTTGCAGTTGGGTCCGAACGTCAGTATTGGGGCCGGAGCACAGATCGCAGCCGGCGTACGCATCAAAGAATCGATTATCTTACAAGACGCTTGTATATCGCAACACAGTTTGGTAATACGATTTTTCCCGAATAGTTAGCCATAACGATAGTTGGCCAACGTGACTTTGCTCGACAACGTTTTCCTCCTTTTTAGGTCATGCACAGCATCGTCGGCAAGTCGGCCAAGATTGGAGCGTGGTGTCGGGTAGAAGGCACTCCTTGCGGCGATCCGAATCCCAACAAGCCGTTTGCGAAAATGGACCAGTTACCGTTGTTCAATGCCGACGACGGCCGTCTCAACCCGAGCATTACGATTCTGGGTAACTATAACATTCAACGAAATCGATCATCGATTGACGTTTGTTTCCCAAATTTCAGGTTGTAGCGTCATCGTGCCGCCAGAAATTATACTGTTGAACAGCGTTGTGTTGCCGTACAAATCGTTGACGAGGAGTTTTAAAAATGAAATCATTTTGTAAAATGTGTATAACTTATTCCATTGTTTTATTTTAATCTTACGCATTCAAAAAAAAAAAAAAAATTATAATACTAAGTTCTACCTGACCTACCGTTGTAGGTCGATACGTAATTGTGTATCTCGTTATAAGACAACTCGTTACGTTTAAGATTAATATATTATTGTTGTATAGAATATAATTTAGAAGAGATATAAATTGTTATAAAATAATAACTCGACTGTAAAACGAATTTTTTTATTGCGTTCGCTTGAAAAATGGTGAAATTGTGATTGTAATTTTGCGTTGAAATGATAATACATTTCGGCGACTCGAATTAATGGAAAACGTACTGTAACCGACAAAAACAAAAATTTATAAGCCAACAGTTTAATTACACTCAAAATAGATACTCACAATCATTTTTTTAGTTTTTAAGTTGTCAAAAAATGTATTATGATAAAATTGTGTTATCTAATCTAATTTTAATTTAAAAAAAAATTCAAATTGGCAAATTGTAATTTTTTTATCTGTTAAAATAGACGTTCTGTGAATGATTAAGAAGTAAATTTGTACAATTTCAAACAACTCGTTATTTTCTGTGCGACTATAAAACAGTGTCAAGTACACTAAATATTTAAATTATCCAATCAAAAGATGTCCTGCAATAAATACTAAGAATACAGGAACAACACATTGTTGTATGTATTTCATATTGTCTTATAAGAGTATGCTGTTGTCAAATTAATGTGTTTTATTTCTTTAAATAAACCCCTTTTGATAATACTTAAAGCAATAAAACTGTATGGTAAATTGTTAATTTTCAATTGGTCTTTATATTTTATCACATTATAGCCTATTATTCAAATCTATTTTTCTGTATAACTTTGTTTGGTATAAATTGAAACCACAGTTTAAACTTTTAAAACCTAAGTTAAGAGTACCTAATTATTTAGTTTTAAGCTTGTGCACACACACACACACATGTTCAGTTAGTAATATTGTTATTAGTTCAAGAAAATATGAGTTTTTAAATTTAAAAAAAATGGCTTTCGACGCAAATTTTAAAATCTATGTGTAGGTTTTATTTTATTTTCCACATTTTTTTTTTGTATTGAAAAACTTTCAAACTTATAACACTATGTCAGCAAACGCTTCAGGCTAGTCTTAATATACAATAAATGCTCAATACCTTGGTACTTGCAACAATTTTGAGAAAGTAAAAATGTAATACACATTTTGAAAAACACTATTCCAAATATTGTATCAAAATAGGTTTTATATGTGAAGTTGTGAACGGTAAAAATGATTAAGTAGGTATATTATGTAATAATTTATCATACAGATAGCAACCATGTGTTAACAATAGTGTTGTTATAATTGTGACTTCAGATCTTCGAATTAAAAATAATAAATTTATGTCAGTATTATTATCATCACCTCCAACTAGTCGATTGGAATAAATTGTAAAATAGCCAACAAAATTATTATTAAGACAATATTTATTTTTAAATTGCAGTGATTTCCAATTTCCAAAAAAAAGTGGTTTAAACTAATTTTATCATTCTGTACATTTTATCATCCTTAGGCATAAATGATAAGAAAATAAAATAACAACAACATTTTACTATTCAATTTTATATGAACTATATTGTGTTGGGAATTTTGATTTTATATATGTATTTCTTTTTGAGGTTTTTCTAAATAAATAAAAAATGTAAAAAACTACAGTTTTAAACTGTTTCTAAACTGGGAATTAGTACAATAAAAACCCATTAAAAGGTATTTGAAACTTTCAACCGCGGCGCACAGATTTGTTATTGCACGTTTTATCAACAGTTACTAATTAAAGTAAAAAAAATAAAAAACCAGTACTCGTTTTAATGAATCTGGTTCGAACGAATCGAATAAATGGGTTTTTCCAGCGAACTCTGAACGATTTTATATTATGGCGATTAAAATGTGATTTGCGCGCAAATTTTAATTACTACTGCGTGCTGCTTGTGTGTTTGATTTGGCTGGTTTTCGATGATAAATCTTGAAAATTTCCATTCCCGTTTAAAGCCATATCGTCGCGTTAATGTACCGATTAATTTTATTATAGTTCGAAGCCGGGCCGAGTTTATCGACGAAAAATAAAAAAAAAGAACAAATTTAAAACGTACGGGTTTTCCCGTTAACCGCCGTAAAACTGGCAACATAAAAAACGCCATTTCGTTTGCGTTTAAAATAATATATATAAAAAAAAAAACGATTTTCAAATTGCATATTCTATAAATAGTGCTCGACCCTAACCGTGTTGACTATTAGCCGTGTTGGAGTCTTACCTGGTTGTTGGCCGGCGTACAGCCACCATTCGAGATGTTCTTCGCCATCGTGCTGGTAAGTGCCTAAAATCAAATAATTTATACTCTCTGGCTTGCGGTGTATAGTGGGTAATAAATAAGTAAGCCGAACGGCTCCCCAAGTACTGTGTATTATTCTGAAAAGGATAGCATTTTTAACGGTTGTAAAAATAAATCAAACACACAAGTTAACGACAAATTTTACTTTTTCCAATACAAATGTTAGATACTATTTTGCTAATAAAAAAACGTTTTGATTGTTATCAGACATTGGCGGTAAAAACGATTGCTATCGGGTCCGCCGTGGATACGGCGAACGCAAATGATTTACCATCCGTTCTCTCTGTCTCTCCCACTGACAATTCCGAAGCGGGCGAACGCTATTCCCGAAGTTTCCCGCAAAATTCCTCTTCTACTAATCCGGATTGGACACGCAAAACCCGAAAAGGACCTGCTCATCCAGCCTTGCCACCAATTTCCCCACCATTTATTGACGATATAGCAACGGCAGCTAAACCTAAAAAAACCACCACCAAACAACGCAAAACCCGACAGTGGCCGGGAACTGCTCCTCCTTTTTACGGAGGCTTTGACAGTTTGCCTCCAGAGTCCCCTCCCATTAATCCCAACTGGGACAGCTTGCCACCAGAGTCCCCTCCTATTAATCCATCATGGGACAGTTTGCCACCAGAGTCCCCTCCTATTAATCCATCATGGGACAGTTTGCCACCAACTTCACCTCCTTTCAACGACGATGTAAAAAAGGGAGGTAACACTAAGACAATAAATACCAAACCACGCAAAACCCGACAGTGGGAGTCCCCTCCTATTAATCCCAATTGGGACAGTTTGCCACCAGAGTCCCCTCCTATCAATCCAGCCGATGACAGTTTACCACCAGAGTCCCCTCCTATTAATCCCAGCTGGGATAGTTTGCCACCAGAGTCCCCTCCTATTAATCCCAATTGGGACAGTTTGCCACCAGAGTCCCCTCCTATTAATCCCAACTGGGACAGTTTGCCACCAGAGTCCCCTCCTATTAATCCCAACTGGGACAGCTTGCCACCAGAGTCCCCTCCTATTAATCCCAGCTGGGACAGTTTGCCACCAGAGTCCCCTCCTATTAATCCATCATGGGACAGTTTGCCACCAACTTCACCTCCTTTCAACGACGATGTAAAAAAGGGAGGTAACACTAAGACAATAAATACCAAACCACGCAAAACCCGACAGTGGGAGTCCCCTCCTATTAATCCAGCCGATGACAGTTTGCCACCAGAGTCCCCTCCTATCAATCCAGCTGATGACAGTTTGCCACCAGAGTCCCCTCCTATTAATCCCAACTGGGACAGTTTGCCACCAGAGTCCCCTCCTATTAATCCCAGCTGGGACAGTTTGCCACCAGAGTCCCCTCCTATTAATCCCAGCTGGGACAGTTTGCCACCAGAGTCCCCTCCTATTAATCCCAACTGGGACAGTTTGCCACCAGAGTCCCCTCCTATTAATCCCAGCTGGGACAGTTTGCCACCAGAGTCCCCTCCTATTAATCCCAGCTGGGACAGTTTGCCACCAGAGTCCCCTCCTATTAATCCCAGCTGGGACAGTTTGCCACCAACTTCACCTCCTTTCAACGACGATGTAAAAAAGGGAGGTAACACTAAGACAATAAATACCAAACCACGCAAAACCCGACAGTGGCCGGGAACTGCTCCTCCTTTTTACGGAGGCTTTGACAGTTTGCCTCCAGAGTCGCCTCCTATTAATCCATCCTGGGACAGTTTGCCACCAGAGTCCCCTCCTATTAATCCATCCTGGGACAGTTTGCCACCAGAATCTCCTCCTATCAATCCAGCCTTTGACGAAAAAGCCGTTTCGAAAGCTCCATCGCCTACTTTTCCGGAAATTGCGATGCGCAAACGTCGCGCAATCAGTCGTCTGGACGGTGACTGTGCACCTTCCCAATTGATAGGTGCTGTCCATCCAGTGGCTTTAATGAACTACATGAGAAAGCATCGTAGAATGAATAGAATGCGAATGAGGATGAAGAGTTTGTACAACCAAATGAGAAGTGAACCGCTACTGTCGACGCTCAATCCGCACTTCTACACCACGTTTGTCAGGTTCAATTTGGAGTTTGACCAACATTTCCGAGACCCCCGTCGCTTCGCGAAAGCCGTCAAGAATATATTGGCCGAACACCGGAAGTTGATCCGTCAACGGGCATACAGCTATGTCAAGCCGATCAAACAACTCAGTTGCAACGCATGGAAATGGTACAACGCATAAACCCAAAAACATTACCGATAAATTGGTAAAAAGCGGGTCCATTCATATATTGTTTTGATACGAACATTTGCATTGTTATCTTGTTGCTTGCAGCTAGGTTTAAATTACCTATATCCCTTATTGTAGTTATTAGGCACTTATTAAGCATTTACTTATCTAATTCGTGTTGAAACTAAGCGCGTACATCAGTATTGTTTGTTTTAAATATATTTAACACTTAATAAAAATACAAATTATGTTATTGTTCAGTCCAGTATATACGTGTTATCTATCCGAACTGCCTCGGAATTGCCCAAATGTAAAATTTGTCATAGAAGACCAAAACAATGGATTAATACAATATTTTAATTCATTATAGTTGTTTTTGCTTTTACAAAGTATAAAATATAACGTTTTTATTGAACATGCGCCTCAAGTATGGCACTTTAACGGTTTACAAAAAAAAAAAATACACCGTTTTGGCTCATCTGCTGTAGTTTTTTAAATTTAAAAAACATTCTAGCAAACATACAGAAAATTTAGTGAGATGACAGAACACGTGAGGTAGGTATATTTTTTTAAACAATAATTAGAACCTACTATGTAGCATAAGCCTCGCCGTAATAGGATTTTATCACTACAAAACTCATTATTGTTCTCTTGACCAGTAGTGGATTTAATAGGAGTAGTGGTGGACAAAATGGAGTGTTTTCAATAATCGAGTTAATCGAGTAATCAATTTATTTTCATAACTGAGATAATCAATCAAATAAGAAAGTTTAATATTATTAATATTTCGTATATTTGATTGATAAATATATTATAATAAAACGTAATCGATTATTTTCATGTAACATTCGTATTGGTTATTACATAATCTAAGAGTATAAAGATATTTTCACTAATAAAAAAATAAATTCATCCCACTAGTGTACATAAATCACTTGAAAATACATGAACTGTGTAAAAACAGAATTTAGGAAAATTAGAAAAATTGAACTTGCATTAAAAAAAAAAATAGCGCCACTCGTTACGCCTAAAACGAAAAATCGAACATTAATAAATTTGAAAATATTATAATATTAATTTAATCTCGCAGAGATGGTTAGGTGTCGAAGAAAACCATTTTTTAATAAATTGATATAAAACACTTTGTTCGTAGATGTTGGTAAAATGTCAAGTAAATGTATTATTTATCTCGATTATAATAAAATATTATTCAGCTAATGTAAATATGTCTATCGAATATTGTGTATAAATAATAATTTGTTGGTTTAATAAAATATAAACCGCTATAACGTATTCGCATAAGGTCTTCCGCACACGGTACACAACTCGGTTTTTGTAAGTTTTTTTTAGTTTTAAAACTTTTGCAACATGTCAAGTAGTAGTTCTGATGAAGATGATATTATTGACTACTATCAATACCGTAGACAACGAAAAGTAGTACACGGGGAATATTGGACCCATCCATATATAGAGAAAAATATCAAATGCAGGCTGTTTGTATCAGCAAAACAAATTGAATGAAACTGATGCCAAGTGTATAGCATTTTACCGAATGTCAAAAGCAGATGGACTTAAACATGAGAAAATGTGTGTCTTCCGAAGAAAGAATATTGATAACTCTGAGGTAAGTATTATTACTAAATATTAAATTTATTGTTTATATTATTAATTTAAAAATATAGTAATATAGCATAAAATTAATCGATATAAATTATCGGCCTGAAAAGTGACCCGCTCTCGTAGTTGTAGTTTTCGTATGTCCCTGAAAAGTTTTTACAATACTCCTTGAGTGCATTTGATGATGAAGAAGAAGCAGTTGGCGAACATGAAGTAGCAGATGGCGATGAGCAGATTGACGCTCATTGAGATGATATATCATCTCTAACGTTAAAAATTTTCCGTTTAAATAATTTAATCTGATCAATATTAAAATTTTCCACTTCTGGCATCAAACTTAATGAAAACATTTTGAGAGCTTTTTTGCTTTCACTGTTGTAAGAATTAGCGGTTGCTGTACTTAAATTTGGTTACAATCTTTGCCTTTTTGGCTTTGAAGTATTCAGCCACACAATTATCTGCTTTCTTTGCCGATTTATTTTTGAGCTTCAAGTTTTTCTTGATTCGAGAAGACGAGGACTGTTCTTGAGGATGATCGATTTGTTGTGATAGTACTGGTGTTAGGACTGGTGCTGATAACAGTGGTGGTATTGGAGGTGGCGGCGATTGTAGTTGTGAAGACTGCACCGAGTACGATGATTTTGTCAGACCAATATCATCATCAGATTTGTCTGTATTTTCAATCGTTTTGTCTTGCGGTATCTCCGGCAGATTACCAGTTGATGCTGGAAGCAACGTTTTAATGAATGGGACAGAAAATTGCATGGCATCTGCCAAATAGTATGCTTTTTTCTTTCGACCAGCCCCACTTGGCGGAGTTTTCATTTTCCGTGTAAAAACAGTTCTAAGATTACGCCATTTTTCTTTCATGACAAAAATCATTACGGCAATCGTGTGGTACATACCTGTCATGTTTACTTTGGCCGCTACCTCGTGCCATGCTTTTTCTGTTAGATCCTTTCTTGAATATCCAGTAAGATTATAATTGTACAGGAGTTCAGGTTTTTCAATTTCTTCGACGAATTTAACGTTTATCAACTGATCAATCAACAGCTCAACGTAATATAATATTTATCATTTGTTATATATTAATTGTTTTAAGTTAGCACTTCAGGTATAATAGCACTGATTTCGATAAAAAATAAATTAATAAATCAACGCCGTACGCAATCGGGCTCTCGTCCGGGCTGGTGAACGCTGTACCCTGCCAAAGTTTAGGTTGGCCACACTGGCGCGCCGAAAAGATGCGAAAAAAAAAAATATATATAAAAGCACCGAGGCAGGTTGCCATAACAACTTGTCGATCCGCTCGCCGACCCCTTTCTTGCGCGTACATTTCCCCGCACAGCCAGCCTCCGCTCTGCCAGGGGTTTATTGACCGGGCGAATCTCTCGGTGGTCGTCGTGGATGTTTTATTATAAAACCCTTATCCGAATCCGATTCGGTTCAAAAAGTTCAAAAAGTGCTTAGTCTGTCTTCGTTTAGTCGTCTGTTTTCATTGTCCGGGTGACCTGTCGCGTTTGTTCGTCGTCGTCAAAGGTGTGTTCGCATCATCAGTTTTGGATGGCCGACCGATGCTCGTTTTGAAAGACTACACTTTTGCACTCTACATACCACCAGGTGACACGTTCAATAAATCACCATTCTTTGTGTACATTTACAAAGTCTAAAAAAATGGTTATCTAGCGTTGCTAGCTTTAGCATAAAATCTCACCGAATTTTTTTAACAAAAGGCCAAGTATACAACGACACGATTGTACTTACAATTATTGCTAATAATTAATTAAATCATGTGTAGTTGTTATTTATTACTACTCCGTAGTATCCAAGAGTAGCTAAGAGTAGCTTTTAAATATAAGCGAAAAAAAATAATGCAGTTGATACTATTTTTTGCTGATATTTAAAGGATTTATCGCGATTTAAAAAAAATATATAGCCGATCAATAACCCACATTTTCAATACAACGATAAATATAAGTATAAGATAGTACAGACAGTATTTTTTTTTTCCTACGTCTTACCTTTTTAATAAATAGCGGCCTATACAAATAACAAATTCATAATATTTCAGGTCCTTAGCTCAACTCTAAATACTTCCCCGTGCATTTTTTTTTCAGTCGATTAAAGTTGGCAATTTAATAAATTAAAAGCTAATAAAATTGTTTTTCAATTTAATATGTTTTAAAATTATAAATCATCATCGTCATGTAGCTTAACGGGCCGTGAACGCTGCCATCATGAGATGGTTTCTTGACGAATTCGCTTCCGGGACGGGTCGACAATCCGTCGCCGGAGAGGGGGATGATGGCGGTTCCTTTTTACCGGACGATTGCTCGCCCAGCAAACGGAGCGCCTGTGACCGAGTGTCGAACCGGCGACAGTGAGCGCTAACACACTGCCGCCTTACCCACTCGGCCACTCCTCCTCCTCCAAAATTATAAATGAAGGAATTAATTGTATATGTTTATGTCAAAAACGCGATTGACTAGTATGCCCAATGCTGTGTCGACCGACAACGCAAAACATGTACAGCTCACTTTTTATTTATTATTTGTTTTAAATAAAGTTGATACACGTTATTTATGAAACTTGACATTCCTTGTATTTATATTTCGTGATAAAAAAGTTTATTTAAAAACTTACCTATTTATCAGTTTCTTAAACCAATTTTTTAGTGTAATAATTATAGAGTTATTTTTTAGTGACATATTTCAGCTTAAGAATCTTATTTTGATTTTGATTAGTTTTAAATGTAGAATTTTTTAAAAGAAATATTACCCTTGCTAATCGAAGGCAAATAAAAAAATCACAAACTAGTAATTACGGTTAAATTGGGGATCTGAAATCTTAGGGATTTCATATTTAAACAGGCGGCTATCGATGGGACAGGGTAGCCTAATAAGCATACATTATTTCCACACTATGGTCTAATTATAATTGTACATTGCAACTTGTGTGTACTGCACACTTTCATAGAACTATTGGTTTCTGTTTAAATTAAATTTCAAAAAAAAATCTGTTAGCGTAGCACAAAAATCTGTTGATGGGACTAGCATTAATTTTAGTTTAAAAAAAAAATGTTTGTTTTAGTTGCATGGTTTATCTATTCGGTAATACGTAAGCAGTACAATTCGTTGAAGTCAATAAATGGCTCAATTAAAAGATTATTCAAAAAAGTAAGTTCTAAGCCAGGATATACTTTATAGTTTCCAATATGACTCTCAATCGATGTGTGATAAGTGATGACATATCGATTGTTATTTAATGTGTTTTTTTTGTTTATATCTATTCATTGTTTGTTATATTGATTGTATTTATTTATGCGTTTAGTGTGACTATACAATGCTATTTCGGGCCTAAACACACTGGTCAATGTGATGTAAGACGCACGTTTT